TTTTTTGTGTCGCAATGTGGACACAACATAAAAAAATTTTTTTTTACTCTAAAAAATCAAATATCACATATCACATTTATTTAATGATTGGTCCCTCTAAGCCTACTATGTATGACTGTGAATTACCTGTTATTTTTTTTTTTCGTATGACATTACACAATAATAAAGAAAAAAAAATTTTTATATAAACTCTTTACTACCTCCAAAGCCCAACCTCAGCCAGGAACAAAAAAAAATTTCGGCTTTAGAAAAGAGTAAGTAGAAAATATATCTTACAAGAATCATAAACAATTTTATACTTTTTGATAAAGACAAATATATTCCGCAAAGTGTGCATTTTAAAAGTAGTGTCAAAAACACGTTTCATAAACTCCCTCTCTTATTTAAACAAATTTGATTATCTATTATCTGGCTCTCGCTTATACCTAGAGACCAGTAATCCCTATTTTAATTATTTAATTATTGTATTTATTTATATCATGAACTACTTTTATATGCACAACGGAAAGCACGTTGGTACCGACGTTGATTGAACACTCTTCGCACGATTTAATTTTTTTTTGAAAGTTTTTATTAACCAACGTCGCATTAACCCTCACACTACACAATAAAAGTTTCTACCGTAAGAAATTTCCCAAGTAGATAGTTGCAAAAGAAGAAAAAATTTTTCTCGCAACGAGAGCACAACTCCTTTTAAACATTAGCATTTGCATAGCCACAAAATCAAGTAGTCAATCACATTGTCTATATAAACCTATATAAAAGCATCTTAATTTCCTTATTTTTTATTTTTTATTTTTTTTTTAATTTTACAAAAAAATTTTTTCACCTTCCTACCTCTACCTCTTGAAAATTAACAATGGCTCCTAATCATATTTTGATGAACCTCGATAGCGCTTTTTTCTACGCACCCAATCTCTCTGGCGCCTACGCCGTTCCTGCGTCGCCCGATCACAAGATTTTCCAGGTGCAAATACCCACATATCAAATGCTCACTCCGTCTAACATACATCCAATGAGCGATAACGAATTCCTATCTGCGCTTACGAACGGAATGGACCAAAAAGTATTACAACAATGGTTGGCCGCTAATGCTAATGATTCCTTGGCCTCTCCTGTTATACAGCATCAAACTCCACTCGAGTCTTATATCATGAACGATGACCTTTTAGATCATAACGATGTGATGTTGGCTAGTCCAAACGAGGAAAAAATCTCGCCTTCTACTTTAAATTCTCCAGTAAACAGTAATCTTGGTGAAGATGAAAATTCTGAAATGTTGTGTAGTTCTTTTGATGACCTTTTGGATGATGATTTACATTCTTCTTTGGATTTCTTTTCTGAATCTGGCTTCAATGCCTTGACCGATGATGCTTTAGCTGCTTTACCATCTTCATCTGTACAGCATTCGATTCATCGTAGAAAATCAGTTAAGCAAGAAGAGTGCATGGAAAGTTTCATCAAACTTGAGCAAAACGATGAGCAGCAAGATGTCCTTATGTCGCAAGGATCAAGCAGTGAGTATCAATTTTTTAGCTTTGATCATTCTTTTGACTGTCGGCCTTCATAATTCTAAAAATTAAAATAAAATGAAATGAAAAGGTGAATCGTCACGTAACGAGTCGGATAACTCGGCCGTCGAAACGGCCTCGTCCCATACTAGTCCTTTATCTTCGGCACCGCCTTCTCCTCAACCCATAAATTCATCTGATGTTCCAGCGACATCCAAATCAAAATCCGGTGCAACACCGAAAAAGCATACAAGTACCAAACCACCACGAAATCTTGAGTGTTTCAATTGCGGTGTAAATAAGACTCCACTTTGGCGCCGCACTCCCGATAGAATGCATTCCTTGTGCAATGCTTGTGGTTTGTATTACAAACAATACAATACACATCGACCATTGCACATCAGAAACAAGCCAAGTACCAGCAGTGGTCCATATACTCTTCCGGCATCACGAAAGAATACAGTTTCCAGCATTTCTTCAGAAAATTCCGGTCCACAACCTTCACCGCAATCACAAGAATCTCAACATCAGTTATCACAGCAACAGCAACAGCCTCTACCTCAACAGTCGTCTCCACCGCCGCCACCTCAACCCGTCGTTACTGTCGTTACTGCTGCCAATGAACCCCCTCCTACTCGTTGTGTGAATTGCGCTCAGACGCAAACTCCCTTGTGGAGGAAGAATGAAAAGGGGCAACCTATTTGCAATGCCTGTGGTTTATATGCTAAATTACACAATAGGGATCGCCCTGTTGCCATGCGAAAGGCAAAAATCCAACGTCGTCGCAGGGATTGGGGTGCTACTAATGGCAATCCAAATGGATGTCCTGACGGTTCGGGATCGGATGGTTCTTGCGACTCTAATCCACAAAGTCCAACATCTCCACAACATTCACTTACCATTCAAACTCTCTTACCTGGACAACGTCCCATCATGCCTCTGATGTTCCCTCAATCACAACTTGTCACCTCACCGATCGCGATGGTGGCTCCGAATACCGTACAACACGGTTATCCTTTCATGCCACAGATTGATTTCGAAGATTCGAGCGATTCGAGGTTTAAGGCATTAATCGGAAAGATGTCAAGAAAGCAAGTTGTAAACTTTCTTTCCATTTTGGAAAGGCGTTGTGATATTCTGAAACAAGTGTTGGACGACGAACAAAATTGTTAGATCATTTTAACACGAATTGATCGTGAGATTATTTGTACGATTCGGAATTTTAGAAAGGAAATGATGTATATATGTAAATCTTTCTTGTTAGATACATCCTTTTTTTTTTTCACAAACAATTATTTTCCTTCGAAGACTGATACGTACATCCGATTTATCATAAAAAGGCCCTTGAGCTTTTTCCTACCATTTTTTCTACTTATACATATACGTATGCTTGCATTCTTCTTTTTAGAAAGTTATTAACATACTCTAGTGATCTCACGAAATCATATATTTAGTAATCTTTTGCATGTATTTTTTGAAATTTTGTTTGAAACAACATCCAAAAAAATTTTCATTTTTGATTTTAAACACATTTCTCTATACAATCCAAATGTAAAAAATAATCACGGAGGTAAAATATAATGAAAATTAAAAAAAATTTTTTTGAAAAAAATTATCAAATGTTTGAATCCTTTCAATTGTGCAACAAAAAAAACCAAATGTGACGCGAATGGGATAGAGAAACGACTTACATGGGCTTTATTTCCGAAATTCGAAAACGCATTTACGTTTTTTGCGCTGCTTTGCTTTTATAACGAAATTCGAGTCGATAAAGTTTTTTTTTTTTGATTATCGTCGATAGACGCATATATATATATATATATATGCAACGGTAATAAATCTAGATCAGAATCAGATTATCGGGAGGCTTGGACACTAAATTTAAACGCGTTAATCTTAGGTTGGTTTTTGTTTTTTAAATAGTCAATTGGATTCGCGATATCAGATGTCTTGTGATGATAATCGAATGGAATTCTCGCAAGCGAACGAAGCCATGGTCTATATGGTGGCAACTTTCGGTTTCTGAGATAAGTTCTGGCAAATCGCGCAAAAATTTCCTTGATAATTCTGGTCGAGTTTACGAATCTTTCATCCGGTATTTTTGCTATTAAGCAATCAAATAAACTATTAATACTGAGGATCAAAAGTGTTTTTATTAAAAATTAACAATTTGAATTTAAGCAAAACCTATCTTAAGCTTTACTTTTGTTTTGTTTTTTCAAATAAGTCATTAATATAAAGTATCAATTGTGATTGAGTATATTATATAATTCTTTAATATATTTTTGGATTGAGCTTAATTACAATTGTCTTCCAATTATCTATTAGTATTATTATATTTGTATTAAAAATAACTAATGTATATTATATTAAATTATTTAATTGATTTATTTTTAACATTTCAATCAGTTTAGTTATGCATACTTTATTAAATATTTGGTAAACTATACATATATATACTGTATTTATAGTTAATTTTCTATCTACGTTTTTATTAACTTAATTCTAAGTGCAACTTTAAAAGTGATTTTTTGTTTTATTAATAATTCAAATAAATACTTTTTTAATTACTAACACCATTGTTTACAGATTATTATTGCAGATTACTTTATTAAATAGATGTTAATTAAAATTCAATTATTTTAATTTCATTTATTAAAATCTTTATTATTTTTTATCTATTTTTTTTTAAAAAAATTTATATTATATTGATTTTATTGAAATTAAAAGAGTATTGAAATTTTGTAAATCTTTTAATTTTATTTTTTTTAATAAATATTTTGACATTGTTTTTAATTTATATTTTATATTTCAAAAAAATTTTTAAATTTGATTATTATTATTATTATTATTATTTTATTAAAGGTAACAAAGCTCAGTTTCATACTATATATTGATAGTTATACATATGTACAGGGAGTTTCAACTATATACAGTATACCTTAACTATATATATCTTAGAAATATTTATATAAAAAAATATATTTAATTAGTACAATCAATATGAATCCATTTTTAGATATAATTTGGTAATGTGACTTATTTTGAAAAAGGTTTTATTACTCTACTGTTTATATCTATATTATCCTTCCTTGACTTTTATATATAATACTTTATAAACTCCAAGACTATAACATTTCATTCCACTAATAACCCTTTTATATGACTTACTACAGAATAATTATATTAAGTCTTGAACAGATATTGATTTTGATAGAGACTCTCTTTTTACTAATATATCTAAGCTTCACTAGTTCTTTTTTTTTATGATATACAAATCTTCAGCTTATCTATAAAAGCTTATTAGAACCTATCATATAACAAGATGACTTCAACACTAAAATTAATTAAAGCATCTTGTGATTTTTGAATATCTTATAATTAGACAAGATCTTGATCAAAGATAGTAAAATTATTATAATAGAATAGATAGAATATTTTTGTATCACCTAAACTTTTTAAATAATACTATCTCATAGTAATATTAAACTTGAAAAAATACTTGGTGATCTGAAAATACTATTATTATGTTATTAATTTACAGATCTTAAATTTGATTATAGATTTTCTTTATATATTGTTGACCTATTCAATAACCTCTAAATAAGATAGATAGATAGAACAACTATAGCAATAATCCACTTTAAGTTGAGGGAGAATATCTTGGTCATAGTATACTAAATTTGATAATTCAAGGATAGTAGAGATTACACAAACATGTTGAAAGAGGCTTTGGGTGATTTGATTTAATTAGAAGGTT